TACCTGGCAGCTGCTGTGTCAGATTTCTACATCCCTGCAGCAGAGATGCCTGAGCACAAGATCCAATCCTCTGAGGGGCCCCTGCAGGTGAGGCTCTCCCCCCCTCGTTGCCCCTCTCTGTTGCCCACCCCCTCCCCCGTTGCCCTACACTTTGTCTCTTGCCCAGCCCCTCAGCTCTGGCAGCACTTTAGCTTGGGGAAGGTGAGCCCAGCCTGATTCTCAGTGACAAACCCAGAGCTTGGCAAGCTGGACAGTCTCCCCCATTTTTCCCCCTGTGCTGTTGCACTTTCCTGCCTCATGTGCCCTGGGGAGTTGACAGAGGGGAAGGATGAGAAGTGCTAAGTTGCCAGGACTCTGGAGAGCTGAAGACTCACACTCCTGCCCTTGCAATCCTTTTGTTCAATCTTCCTCTGCTCCTGTTTATCTTCCCAGAGTGGGGCTGGGAACAGAACTGAGGGAACGCCACGTTCCTGTGCCTCAGAACCTCCTGATCATTGCTGCTCCCATAGGGAGCATTTAAGTGAATTGGATTCACACCCTGTTCTTTGTCCCACATGGCACATTCAGTTGAGCATTGCAGTGACATTTGAGCCTTGTTTGCTGAGAGCTGCCCAAACACTGCCCTGGAAAACTTCCCAGTGCAAACACGACATGGAGTAAATTTCCCTTCCCATTCAAGCTCACTGATGTTTCACCGAGGTGTTTGTCTCCCCACAGATCACCATGAGGATGGTGCCTAAGATGCTGTCCCCTCTGGTCAAGGACTGGGCCCCTGAGGCCTTTGTTATCTCCTTCAAGCTGGAGACAGACCCGCTGATCCTCCTGGCCAAGTCACGGCAGGCGCTGGAGAAGTACCGGCACCAGGCCGTGGTGGCCAACGTGCTGGAGTCACGCAGGACCTCTGTCATCATCGTCACCAGGGACTCCCACACCCCCCTGAGCCTCTCCCAGGAGGAGATAGCACAGGGCATGGAAATAGAGGAGAAGATAGTGAGCTACCTGCAGGAGCAGCACACTGCCTTCATGGAGAGGAAAGGCTGAGGGGCAACTCAGGATGAGACAAGGGAGTTGTGCTGGAGTGGGAGCGGAGCCATTCCTGCCCCAATCCCTGTGGAATGCCAGGGAGGGCCGTCCAGAACTCTGTCACTCTGCTGCAGCTTGGCCATGGCTGTTGTGGCTTTGGAAAAGAGAAATACATGGAAGTGAAACCATCCCAAAGGATATTTGTGCTGGTTTCTCAAGAAGGAAAGGATTTGTGGATTGGTTGTTGTCCTGGGGGCTGGGAGAAGTGGGAGGAGGAGTGGGTGGGTGTCTGGATATAAAGAATTCCTTGGATCTCCCTCTTCGGAGTTTCTTTTGGAATGGTTGGAGGAAGGAATGGCACTGTAGGGGAGATGTGGCGGTTTCACGACCGGAGCTGGGAATCATCATCTGGTGTTGAGGTGTCACACATCCCCCGGTATGATGTCCCCGGTGTCACACACTCA